TTTATTGCGTTTCCTTTCTATTGCGTTTTCTGTCCGTGGCGTTTCCTGTTTATTGCTTTTCCTGTCTATTGCCTTTTCTGTCCGTGGCGTTTCCTGTTTATTGCTTTTCCTGTCTATTGCCTTTTCTGTCGGTGGCGTTTCCTGTCTATTGCGTTTTCTGTCCGTGGCGTTTCCTGTTTATTGCGTTTCCTGTCTGTGTGATCCTTAATATGTAGTGTTTCTTGTCTGTGGCGTTTCGTTTCTGTACACCCCACCCCCTCCTTTTCCCCTCCAATTTATGTGCAATTCCCTTGTCTATCCTGTTTATTTCGGTCTATCACATCCACTTGCCTCGCTCTGGGGATGATTGTCGTCTCTTTGTTCCTTCGTCTTTGTTTTGAGACGGTGTTTGTGTTTCATGTTTTTGTTTTTGTTCTTGGTTTGTGTTTTATGCTTGGTTCTTGTGTTTTTGTTCTTTGTGTTTGTGTTTGGGTTTTTGTTCTTTATGTTTGTGTTTTATTTTTTTGTGTTTTTGTTCTTTCTGTTTGTGTTTTTGTTCTTTATGTTTGTGTTTCTGTTCTTTATGTTTGTGCTTTTGTTTTTTATGTGTGTTTAGTTTTTGTTTTTGTTTTGTACTTTTTCTTTATATTTGTGCTTTTGTATGTATGTGTTTGTATGTGTTTTTTGCTTGTATGTGTTTTTGTTATTGCGGTTGTTTATGTTTTTGTTTTGTGTTTGTTTTTGGTTTATTATTTGTGTTTTGTTTGTCTTTTTTGTTTTTTGTTTGTGTTTTGTGATTTGTTTATCTTGTTTTGTTTTCGTTTTTGTTTGTTTTTGCTTGTTTCTGTTTTTTGTTTTTGCTTGTTTCTTGTGTTTTTATTATTGTTTTGTGTTTTTTTGTTTTGCTTTTTGCTTGTGTTTTCGTTTAAGTTGATGTTTGTGTTTTTGTTATGGTTGAATATATGTTATGTGTCATATATGTGTATATGTATATATATCTATATATCTGTATATTTATGTATCTATCTATCTGTGTATCTCTCTACCTATTTTTTTATCTATAACTATCTATCTATCTATCAGTCTAACTGTCTATCTACCAGTCTATCTGTCAGTCAGTCTGCCTGTCTGTCTATCTATCTGTCTGTCAGTCTATCTGTCTGTCTATCTAACTATCTATCTATTTATCTTTGTACAAACGCATGCGGAACAAACAGACAAACAAGTACACTCAAAGTCAAACGACCAAACAAAGACAAAGAAAAAGAAAAGAAAAGAAAAGTGAAAGAGAAAGGAAAACAAAATAAGCTAAAATAAAATAGAGAGAAAGGAAAATAAAGTCAAATAAATAGAAAGGAAAACAAAATAAAATAAGATTGAGAGAAAAGAAAATAAGATAAAATAGAATAGATAATAAAGAAAACGGAAAATGAAATAAAATATTTTATTTTCCTTTCTATTTACCTTAACCTAAACTAAAATAAGGAGAAAGAAGAAGAATAAAAAAAAAAAAAATAAAGGAAAGGAGAGAGAAAGTACACTTACCCACAGCCCACCTCTCGCCCCCACACAGCCCTCCCACACACAAACATCCCTCCCCCACCCCCCCATTTCTCCCCCACTCCCCCCTCTCACCATCCCCCACCCCCCTCTCCCCCCTCTCACCATCCTCCACCTCCCTCTCCCCCTCTCCCCCACCTCCCTCTTCGCCCACCTCCCTCTCCCCCCCATCCCCCACCTCCCTCTCCCCCTCTCCCCACCTCCCTCTCCCCCACCTCCCTCTCCCCCCATCCCCCACCTCCCTCTCCCCCTCTCCCCACCTCCCTCTCCCCCACCTCCCTCTCCCCCCATCCCCCACCTCCCTCTCCCCCCATCCCCCACCTCCCTCTCCCCCCATCCCCCACCTCCCTCTCCCCCCATCCCCCACCTCCCTCTCCCCCCATCCCCCACCTCCCTCTCCCCCCATCCCCCACCTCCCTCTCCCCCCATCCCCCACCTCCCTCTCCCCCTCTCCCATACGCAACCCCTCCACCTCCCTCTCCCCCACTCTCTCTCCCCCCATCCCCCACCTCCCTCTCCCCCTCTCCCCCCACCTCCCTCTCCCCCTCTCCCACCTCCCTCTCCCCCTCTCCCCCCACCCCCCACCTCCCTCTCCCCCTCTCCCACCTCCCTCTCCCCCTCTCCCACCTCCCTCTCCCCCTCTCCCCCCACCTCCCTCTCCCCCTCTCCCCCCACCTCCCTCTCCCCCTCTCCCCCCACCCCCCACCTCCCTCTCCCCCTCTCCCCCCACCCCCTCCCCCTCTCCCCCTCTCCCACCTCCCTCTCCCCCCACCCCCCACCTCCCTCTCCCCCCACCCCCCACCTCCCTCTCCCCCCACCCCCCACCTCCCTCTCCCCCCACCCCCCACCTCCCTCTCCCCCTCTCCCACCTCCCTCTCCCCCTCTCCCCCCCACCCCCACCTCCCTCTCCCCCTCTCCCCCCACCTCCCTCTCCCCCTCTCCCCCCACCCCCCACCTCCCTCTCCCCCTCTCCCACCTCCCTCTCCCCCTCTCCCCACCTCCCTCTCCCCCTCTCCCACCTCCCTCTCCCCCTCTCCCCCCACCTCCCTCTCCCCCTCTCCCACCTCCCTCTCCCCCTCTCCCCCCACCCCCCACCTCCCTCTCCCACCTCCCTCTCCCCCTCTCCCCACCTCCCTCTCCCCCTCTCCCACCTCCCTCTCCCCCTCTCCCCCCCACCCCCCACCTCCCTCTCCCCCTCTCCCACCTCCCTCTCCCCCTCTCCCCCCACCCCCCCCACCTCCCTCTCCCCCTCTCCCTCTCCCCCCACCCCCCACCTCCCTCTCCCCCTCTCCCACCTCCCTCTCCCCACCTCCCTCTCCCCCTCTCCCCCCACCCCCCACCTCCCTCTCCCCCTCTCCCACCTCCCTCTCCCCCTCTCCCCCCACCCCCCACCTCCCTCTCCCCCACTCCCCCTCCCTTTACTTCTTTACCCTACCCACCCCTCCCTCCTCTCTCCATTCCACAGCAGCAAAGAACAAGAACAATATAAAAATGAAAAATAATAACAGTAAAATATAATGGAAAATAACAATAAAGAAACTACAAAAAAATATTAATAAAAAATAGTAACAATAAAAAACACCATAAAACAATAATAGTGAAAAAAAACAATAAAAAAACAAAAACATTAACAATAAAAAACAACAATCATAACAAACAAACAAACAAACAACAAATAACCTCCCCCCCCCATTCCTGTTCCAGACGTGGACGAGTGCCTCCTCGGGAATGCCACGTGTCACCCGACTGCCAACTGCAACAACATCGCCGGCAGCTTCCTTTGCCTGTGCGACGGAGGCCACGTCGGGGGGGGCGACCTGCCCTGTGTCGGTAAGTGTGTCTGTGGGGGGAGGGAAGTGTGTGATTGTGTGATTGTGTGTGTGTGTGTGTATATGTGTGATTGTGTGTGTGTATGTGATTGTGTGTGTGTGTGTGTGTGTGTGTGTGTGTGCCTGGTTCATGATAATCTTGTGTTATGATAGTGATAATGATGATAACATCAGTAACAACAATTATGATTATAATGATTACTTAAAATAATTGATAATGATATTGATAATGATAATGATGATAATAATTATAGTAATTATAATGATAATAATGATGATATTGACAATATTGATAATGGTATTGATAACAATGATAATATATATAGCAAAATTGACATTAATAATAATCATGAAGATCAAAATAACAATTATGATAATAATGATAATGGCAATGATAAGAACGATGATGATGGTGATAACGATAATAATAATAATAATAATAGTAATAACAATAATGATAATAATAATAATAATAAAGATAATAATAATAAAGATAATAATAATAATAATGATAATGATGATGTTAATGATGATAATGATGATAATGATGATGATATTGATAATAACAATGATAATACTTATAATGATACTAATAATAATAGTAATAATAATAATAACAATAATCATATTAATGATATTGATAAAGATGATAATAATAATGTAGATAGTAATCTTAATGATGATAATAATAATGACAATAGTAATAATAGTAATAATATTTATAATGATAATAATAATGATAATAACATTGTTATCATTAATAATGATGATGATGATGATAATAATAATGATAATAACAATAGTAATAATAATAATAATAACAATAGTAATAACATTAATAATAATAAAACTGAGAATGACAATGAGGAAAATAATAATGTCATTATCATTATGATTAATATCATCACAATTATCACCATTATTATTGCCATTATCATCATCATAAGTATCATCATTCCTTTTCTTTTACCAAATCTCTACCAATTTCTTCACTCTGCAATCTCATCAGTATCTTCCTGGCCCACAAACCATGGCTTCCGCTTTTCTACCTCTAAATCTTTCTCCATCCTTTTCTCTCGCTCACGTGTAGGTCCCCTACCCCCACTCTTCTTATATGGCACTCCACTCCAATGCCGTTCCTCTGGCAAATTCCTAGGCGTCATTTTTGACTCCAAACTGACCTGGCGAGACCATATTCTACACATTAAAGAAAAAGCTCTCCGCCGCCTTCGAATCTTAAAAACTCTATCCCATATATCATGGGGCTCAGATTGCAAAACTCTCCTTCATCTTCATGTTACTTTGATCCTCCCCACTCTTGATTATGGATGCCATATCTACTCTGCCTCAACTTCTCTCCTTGCCCATCTTGATACAATCCATCACTGTGGTCTTCGCTTAGCACTAGGTGCCTTCCGCTCCTCTCCAGTTGAGAGCCTGTACACTGAATCAGGCATACCATCTCTATCTCGACGTCGTGCCCTTCTGTCTCTCCGATGCTATGTTTGATTCCACCAACTTCCCCTCACTAAACTAACTATCCCACAATCCCTACTTCTTACCTTAGCTTCATCTCCACGTTTACCTACTCCTTTCTCCACTCGCATGGATACCCTCCTCTCCCATTCCCCT